CTTCTCCTCAGTGAGCTCCAGTTCTAACACAGGATTGGACGGTGTAGATGGTGGCGCCTCCTCCTCGGTCTTGTCCAGCTTGGACAAAAAAAAAAAGTCATATTTTAAGGACTGTTAAATTATTCTGATACCACTGCAAACATATAACTGTAAGATTACAGCTGCTTGCAAAATAATAAGCTGATAAATAACAATCCTGGCAAGATTTTACAGCATAAAAGGCCTAAAACAAATAGTTCTCTATATACTCATGCAGCGATGCATTTTTAAAATGTGATTAAATCCTCATCTAATCTTATATAAATGTGCGCACACATAATTCTCCCAGGATGCAATGGGTGAACAGCAAAGAACTGCATATATCATTTGATTGGCCATGCTATATCTTGACACCGGTTTTAATTTAACACACCATGCATGCAATATCAAAACCAAATAAGGAAGCTTAAACAACAAAAGAGAACTGCACAAATGAGAGAGCAGGCAAGGCATCTAGAATTCAAACGACTTGTGCTTTGGTCCTCTGGTATCTCTGTCACATAAGGGCACCGATTTTACTGTGATCGTTATGCGGCTGGGCTGAAAATTCAGATAGTGCTGCTTCCAGCTTTGTGCAACACTGGGAGCAAAGGCAAATGTTCTTCAGTCATGCTGAAACCCGGTCAAACATCTGTCTGGCAGCATGCATTCTGTCTGCCTGAGCCCTACCTGTCGCACAGGCTGCTCATTAGAAACCTACACTCACAGAACACACACACAGACAGCAGGAAAGAGAATATGAGAAGAAGCAGACAGAAGACACCACTCCAGGATGAGAGGAGAACTAGTGAGAAAGAGCTTTCTGAAAGGAATAGTTTACCCAAAAATGACAATTTGCTGCAAATTTATCCTCAGGCCATCCAAGATTTAGATGAGTTTGTTTCTTCATCAGAACAGATTTGGAGAAATGTAGCATTACAACACTTGCTCACCAGTGGATGTTCTGCAGTGAATGGGGGCCGTCAGAGTGAGAGTCCAAACAGCTGCTAAAAACATCACAGTAATCCACACCACTCCAGTCCATCAATTAATGTCTTGTGAAAAGCCGTGCGTTTTTGTAAGAAACAAATCCATCCTTAAAATGTTTTAACTTTAAACGGTCAATTCTGGCTAAAATAAGAGTCCATAATCCATAATATTGCTTTCTCCAGTGAAAAAGTCAAATATGAGAGAAATATGCACAGATCAAGCACAGTTCAAAGGTTAGTTTGTTTAGGACTGTTTTAAAGTTAAAACAGTTCTAAACAAATATGTCACTGGATTTTGCAGTAAAAGGACAACAGTGGATGGACACTGGAAGAATTGGTATTATGGATTATGGACTCGTATTTTGGCCAGAAGTGGCTCGTATTTTTAAATATAGATGACTCATATTTTAGTTAGAAGTAATGGTCTGACGTTAAAAAATGTCTTGATGGATTTGTTTCTTATAAACACACAGATTTTCACTTCACAAGACATTAATTGATGCATTGAAGTGGTGTGGATTATTGTGATGTTTTAATCAGCTCTTTTGACTCTCATTCTGACGGCACCCATTCACCGCAGAGGATCCATTGGTGAGCAAGTGATGTAATGCTAAATTTCTCCAAATCTGTTCTGACGAAGAAACAACTCATCTACATCTTGGACAGCCTGACGGTGAGTAAATTGTGAGTGTGTGAGTATGGAATAGAAGACACTTTTCTAAATGGGACAGTTCATTTCTTTTAAAGCCACAGTAGATGACTGACAGACAAGCAGATGGTCCCTATGTGTCATCTAAAACTGGGGCTCATCATATTTGAGGGTCCGTTTCAGATAAAAGATTGATAACACTTGGTCTAGACATTTATTCAAGGGTCATATGATGTTGCTAAAAAGAACATTATTTTGTGTATTTGGTGTAATGAAATGTGTTTATGCGGTTTAAGGTTAAAAAAACACATTATTTACCATATAATGTACATTATTGTTTCTCCTCTAAGAAACCGCCTTTCTGAAACGTGTAGATTTTTACAAAGCTCATCGGTCTAAAAAAGCAAGTTATACGGTGATTGGCCAGCTATCCAGTGCGTTGTGATTGGCCGAATGCCTCAAGCGTGTGACGGAAATGTTACGCACCTCACATACTGTGATGCCGTCTCCCAGCAGGACAAGACAAAACCAATAAAACTCATTACAAACGAGGCATCTGTTGTATCCAGTGGGGACATAATTACGGATTATAATAACTTATACTGTCTTTTTACGCGTTGCATTGCATCGCGCCGCGTAAACATAAAACCCTGTCTGCATTTGTGATCGGAGAAACAACAAGCGCTACTCTACACTGCTCAAAACTCGCGTTTGAATCATCAGTGGCAAATTCTTTAAATATAAAAAACTTACTTACAGTCTGTGAGTCAGAAGCGCCAGACTGTCTTTGCAAAGTTGGAACTGCCCCACTTTATAGAAACAGCCTTTGTGTCACAGACGCATTGTATGCTACTGGTTCAGGAAACAGTCCTCATCCTCCATAAAATGTGCTGCACACATCTGAATATTTGGGTTGAAGTGTTCTGGAACAGTGCTGTAAATACAACTTAACCACTGATTTCTAGCCATGTCCTCTTTTGGAAGACCAAACAAAGTAGTTTTGCTTTCACAATGAAACGCACAGCGACTCCACAACATGGCGGCAGCGGCGGCAACAACAATACTACAGCGAGAATAAAAGTTACGCCTTCCTTCTTTGCGTGAACATGTGGGCGGCGTTATGCAACTCCTCCCACATCGTGACGTAGATATGTGGGGGCGTGTTAGAACGAGCCGTTTTAGGTAGGCGTGGCTGACTCTTAACTTTTATAAAGAATATCTCTTTGGATTTGAGACTTTAGTCTTTGCAACTTTACAGATCTTCTTTATGCACCAAGAGCTTGTAACACTCCGAAGAGAAAAGAAAAATTGAAATAGCATCATATGACCCCTTTAAACAGATTACACTACAAATAACGTTACAGTGAGGTTAAATGTGTTTTCGAGCAGCTGTGTTCAACCTCGTGAGAAAGTAGTTGAATGTTTAAGTGAACACATGAGTGTATCATGATCTAATGTTGTCTGTATTCACAGCTGGAGTTTATACCTTGGCTTGTATCCACATCTCCTGTAATAATCCTCCTCTTCCTTAAGGCCAATTCACACCGCACCGACAAACGCCAACAGACTAGTCTTTCGAAGTTTGTTAGATCAGTGTGTTACACCTGTCGGCGTTTGTTGGCGTTGGTCGGAGTTGGTTTTAACCTGACTGAACATGTTTAATCGGTGTTTGTTGGGTCGTGGAATGTCTGAGCAGTGTGATATGATTTTCCAACAAACGACAACTAACTCTGATGTAATCTGACCTGGCCAGGAACCGTTGCCATGACAATGAGGCAAGACTGCAAGTAGGTGCTGGGCCCAAGTAGGTATAACTGCAGACCGGAGATCTCCAAAATGGGGCGTGAACTCCAAAAGAGGGCAGAAAAAAGGGAGGGAAAAAAAGTTTGGCAAAAGGCGGGATCGAACCCGGGTCGATCGTGTCAAAAAAGCCAACGTCAAGCGCTTATCCATCTGCATCACTGGAGCTGATGTTTTGTAGCCACTTTTAACTAAATGTAAATAGACACCCCGTATACGTTGATTGACAGATGTCTGGTCCAGTCAGCGGTGAGTAATCCCAAACCAATGGCGCTGTCTCAAACTATACCTACCTTTTCCGGTTTGTCTGATTTGTCGTTGTGTTTTCTGACTTGTTATTTTGTTTTCGAATTTGTCATTGTGTTTTCTGACTTGTTATAATGTTTTCTGAATTGTTGTTGTGCTTTCTGAATTGTTATTTTGTTTTTTAGACTTGCATTTGCGTTTGTAATTTGTTATTTTGTTTTCAGAATTGTGATTTGCTTTGCACTTCTCGGCCACCGTACAGACTTCATCTCTGCATTATTTGCAATATAAATTAAGGGAAAATAAAAAGAGAAAGAATAGAGTTTGTATTTGTATTGTTTTAGAAACCAGCTGGATGAAACTTCTTCATCTCGTATATTAAACATATGGTGTATTTTTATTGTACGAATATCAGTTGCATTGAAATAGTAATTATTTAGATTAATTTATTAATTTATTTTAGGTGATATTTTGTGTTTATTTGTATTTATTTGGTCCATAATGCTTGTTAACAGAACAGCGGTCATCACTACCTTTTTTTTTTTTTTGATGATGATATTTCAGATTTATTTTAAAGGGCTCATATGATGCGATTTCAAGTTTTCCTTTCTCTTTGGAGTGTTACAAGCTGATTGTGCATAAATAAGACCCCTGAAGTTGGAAACACTAAAGTCTCAAAACCAAAGAGATATTCTTTATCAAAGTTAAGACTCTGCCACGCCCCCCTAAAACGGCTCGTTCTAACACGCCCCCACATATCTACCTCACTATGTAGAAATATTTGCATAATGCCGCCCAAATGTGCACGCAAAGAAAGAAGGCGTGGTTTCAGTAACCGCAGTTAGTGTTGAAGCAGACTGCGCTTGTCGGAAGGAGGGACTTTGTAGAAAACGAAGCGTTTGAGAGAGGCGGGGCATAGAGGACCTACAATAATGTACAGTATTTGAAAAATAATGTGTTTTTTGAACATTAAAGCATGTCAACATATTCTGTTACACCAGATACACAAAATAATGATCTTTAAAAAAGCATCATATGACCCCTTTAAATTAAATTAAATGTATTAGTCTATATATATAATTTTTTTTTTATTCATAAATGTTTAGACTATCTATGTTTTACATAGATAGTCTAAACATTTATGAATAAAAAAAATTTACACTTTTCAACGTAGGCTATTACTCCTTTGTAAGAGTAGTCACTGACTGCCAAAACTTACAGGAAAGTTTCTTCTCCTCCTGACAACAGAAAGCCATTGACCGAGTCATTTTCCTCCAGTCTGTCCAATGTAAATCTGGACCCTCGTATTTGCGCCCCACAAATATTAGCGACCATCAGGTGGCGCAAAGGAATAGACGAGACGAATTCTGAAAGAATTAAGAGGTTTATTTATTTACAGCATAAACGAGCATCCCCGCAGGAGAATGTAAACGCGTCCAGTCCATCCTCCTCCTCCTCCTCCTCCTCACCACCATCATCATCATCATCAGTCCAGAGAGACCCTCGCTTATTATTAAAGCTCAAGTTCGCTTCCCTCATCATCAGCTGGACTTAATGAGTGTGTCAGTGATTAAAGAGCCTGTGTGCTGCTGATGAACTGTGCTGGATTCTGCCTCTTCACCGCTCTGCCCTTAAAATGGAGTTTGTGGAGAGGAAGCGGAGCAGGAAATCGCAGAGCTTTAAACTGGTGAAGGATGCAGGTAAGCAGACAGATGACAGCAGACAGATGCGTCAGCACTCTGGAACGCACCTGTGATACAATGCATCGTTCCCTCTTTGTCCTGCCCGCATCGTCACAGTGTCGGACGCTTTGTTCTGTTCGAATCGTTTGGATCATTCGTTGTGTTTAATCATGTTTGTCGGCGGCGCTCGTAGTAAAAACAATTCCATTGTTCTTCTGATGCGTTTAGTCTGTCCCTGTGCACTTCTTCAAGTGTGATGGAATACAATACATGTCTGTCTGCTGCGTGATGAGGCTCTTCACAGTCACGCAGCCTACAGGTGGTCCTGCAGCATCACTTCATCACATCTGCACCGCTCAGACGTCACGCACACAGCTGCTGTTATGAGTGACATTACAACATATCAAGCAATCCTGCTGTACTTCATCTAACATTTTTAACAGCTCATCCAAATTGAGAGCCTATAGTATATGCAATATATGTATATTTTTTAAATGAATAGGACTGTCAAAAATAATGAAAACTCCTCATGTTCTGTTGATATTTGACTGTTTTTATGTTTTATGTTCTAGACAATTCAATCATTTTTTATTTTCCCTTATTTATTTTTGTTGACATATGCACTGTCAGAAATCTGACGGTCAATTCTAGTATATTACAATGTACACAGTCATGCAAAAGTTATAATAATATAATGTGTACACTGTAAAAAAAAATCCGTAAAATTTACGGTAAAAA